AAATTTAGTAAAAAATTTTTAGATTTGATGCATCTCCATTTACATCCGTGCAGCTTTGTAAAGAATCAGTAAGTCATTTAATGAATGGACTTCGAAAGTAGAGACTTTAAGCTATGAAATTCTTTTTTGATCATTATATTACGATCATTTTTGACGCAGTAACACTCTCTTGAAATTTGCCCATTTTTAGCGATCAGAATAGGTGATCCTTTAATTTTGGCGCGGAGTGTATATAATTATTAAAACATAATTAAAACAATTATAAAAATGATATATTATTAAAATAATTATAATATAGAATAAATCATACAACATATTATATAAAAAAAACCGTTAATGTCGATTAATAAGTATAAATTAAATTATGAATTCAAAAACTAATGTTATTACGTTAGGAAATAAAAAAGACTTATATGACGGATAAAAACTTTGAACCAAAAGTAGTGGCACGTGCTTCTCAAGCAGCTGAAGGTTTGTGCAAATGGATACGTGCAATGGTATTATATGATCAAGTGGTGAAAATAGTGGCGCCGAAAAAAGCCAAGCTCGCTGCTGCTGAACGTGACTACGAGAATACTCTTACGTTTTTACAAGAAAGGCGACAAATGCTAGCTGAATTAAATAAAAAACTAGATATACTACGAGAAAATCTGCAAGATACAACGACAAAGAAAATTCATCTAGAAGATGAGGTTGAGTTTTTGTTCTATTCTCATCTTTTCTCTTTATAGCTTCTTTTTCTCAACAAATAAATGGTTATTATTCAAAATAACATGTCGTATAATAACAGGAACTTTTTCTAAAACCAATACATTATTTAGATTTACTCTCTTCAGCTGAAAGACATTAATTTGAAATTTTTAAACACTTGAAAATTTATTTTCCTCCTCTTGGATCAGATTTTCTCTTTTTTTATTAAAATATTTAATTAATTTAAATACAACTTACACAGAATAATTTTTATTTTACTGCTTTTTGATGGAATTTAGTTTTTCTGCTTTTTATTTTACTTCTTTTTCATAGCAATATATTTGGTTTTTTCATAGCTATATTTCTATTGCTCTGACATATTATGAGCACATATTAATAATAACTTACCAATAGATGACGAGTTGCAGAAATAAGTTGATCCGTGCAGAGAAGTTAATCAGTGGATTAGGTGGAGAGAAAGATCGTTGGACTACTGCTGCTGAAAACATACAAAAGTCATTTGAATCACTGCCTGGTGATATCTTAATATCTTGTGGGATGATTGCATATCTAGGACCATTTACAGCTAATTTTCGTATCGAAAATGTAAAGAAATGGCAGATGCATGTGGCGCGTTCAAATATACCTTGCTCACAAGAATATAATTTCATCGAATTATTGGGTTCAGAGATCAAAATCAACTCATGGCATATACTCGGTTTACCTCAAGATTATTTCTCAATTGAGAATGCTATAATAATGGATAACTCAAAAAGATGGAGCTTATTTGTTGATCCACAAGGTCAGATAAATAAATGGATTCGCAATATGGAAAAACCGAATAAACTTGAGATTATAAAATTGACAGATCACAATTATATGAAGGTTATCGAGCGTGCAATTCAATATGGTATTGTAATATATGAATATAATATAATATGAATATAATATAATATTAGAATAATAGATAGAAAATTTTCTATAACGTTCATTGTATAAATAACTGATTTATAGATAAATATCAAAACAAGTTAATTTTATTTTTTAATAACTTATTGTATGATTGATAATTTTAGCTGTGCTATTTCTGATTTATGGATTGTGGAATAAAATAATGCTTTATTAGGTTCTATCCACTTTTTGTTTATCCTTAGATATACTTTTTAAATTTTATTTACAATCGTAACTTCTGTTGTAATAAACAACATTTTTGTCCACCTTTTTTTGTATTTTCCTGTTCTTTTATCTAGCTCTTTATTTCATTCTTTTCTTCTTCGATCTACTCTCAATAAAAATGCCATCCTTGTTCGAAACATTTTTTGTTTATTTTTTTGTAATGTTTTTCTTATTAGATACTTAAAAAGAAATTCAAAATTGTTTGATTGCAAAGGAAACATAAAATAGTAACTCTTTTGTTAGCTAGTTTCCTATATTATATTATTCGTTGTTTTTAAAGAATTATATAGTAGGAGCAACCGGGGCAAGTTGTTACAATTTTTGATTAACAATTTTTTTCCGTACTCAGGTATACATTTAAATTAATGTGTATCTATGTATTGCTTCAAATACATTTTTAACTAAATAGTTATTTTTTTCTAATATATATCTATGTCTTTAAATACTAAAAATTGAAATTTTCTGTTAATAGGTAAATTGTAACAATTTATCCCACTGTGGGACAAGTTGTTACACTTACAATATCATTTCAAACATTATACTATATATATAGAAGAGCAAATTCAAGATTACAATCAGGAAACGTGGCTCTAGCCAAGTATATTTTTTTGCTACATGACGATCAGGAAACGTTTTTGTACTGACAGAGACGCTACAGTGTATCCTTTACTGGACGGATAACGTTTCTGTAGAAATAAATTATTATTTCTTTTAATTATAATATTATCGATAAATGTCTATTTTGTGAAAAATCTATATTTTTCCAATCACAATGCTAATAATGATGTCCATAAGTGCATTTGATGCATAAGTGTATAA